AGTCACATGCTCCACCGACTGAGTTGGCCAGGCGCTAAACCACCTGTCTCTAACAGATGTTCTGTTGGTCTCGTTCACATGTTATTTCTGGCCCTGAAAACAGTCTTGCAGACAGTTACAAGTCACCCCGTCATACACAGGAGCAAAGGGAGACCTGCCCGGGGGATGGGGGTCCACGTATGGTAACAGTCACGAAATTAATAACATGGACAACGCTAGTTGTAGCAATGATATTAGCTCGTGTTTACTGAGCGCCCGCTGTTATTTTGGGCTGTTCACCTGTGTCCTCGCTGAAAGCTCACAAGTACGCTTTGGGGCGGGCACTAGCGTTTTCTCAATTTGCAGACGAGGACCCTGAGGCCCAGAGAAGTCAAGGCACTGGTTCAGAGTCACACAGCTGGAAGAGGGGGAGCCAGAATCCAAATGCCAAAGCCCCCGCTCGGGACCACTCATCGTCACCTGCATTTTGTCACAGGTGTGTGCTCAGACTCCGAGAGGCCAGGCTCACACAGCCAGCAAAGAGTCGGAGTCGGGACCCAGACGGCTGGCTCCAGATCCTGAGCTGAGCTTTTGCTAAGAGCTCATCTCTTTCTTCTGTAAAATGGGCTAATGATCCCCACTCTGCCGGGCAAGATGGGGGGACAGGATGACACTTTGGCTACGAAGGGTCTCCGAGTAGACTGCTCTGTGGTTGGCTCCAGGGAGCCAGGACAGCTGGCCACAGACCAGCAAGGGTGCAGAAGTCTGGGGTGGGGATGGGGGGGAGGGGGGGGACTCACGTGGCCGTGAGATCGTCACAGGATTGGAGGGATACTCTCCCTGGCTGTTCTTGGCTGTGCACACATAGGTGCCCAGATGCCCCCAGGACAACCTCCGGATGATCAGCATATTCCCGGTGTCGTAGGGCTCCCCGTCGAGGGTCCAGTGCAGCACGGGTGTGGGGGTGATGTAAGAGGCCAAACACTCCAGGATCACTGAGTAGTTGAGGTCACTCTGGATAACGCCCTGGACGGCACTGGGGAAGGTCAACAGCATCACCCCGCTGGAGCTGGCTGTGCAAACGGAGAGCAAGGCCACGTGGGTGGAGACCCCTCAGAGAGGCTGAGCATTTCTTTTGTCCACACAGAAGCATCCATTCATTCATTCATTCATTCATCCGTCAATACATGTGTTTGGAGTTCCTGATCTGTGCCCAGCGTCGCTCCAGACATAGGGAGTAGCAGACCTGTGGGTCCCCGCCCTCCAGCCCCTTGCCCTCACCACTTCCCACTGCCAGTAAGGCACCTGTTGCCCGAGCGCTTTCCCTGTGGCTGCCAGGGCCCGCTGTGCCCGAGGAGAAAGCAGGCCAAAGTGTTGGGAAATGGACATACCCGGGGGCAGCCGGTATATAAATATCCCAGCTCCCCCGCCCTCAGCTGGACCGGGGTGAGGCCGGGAGCCGGGAGGAGTGGCTGGATTCTGGATTCGTTTGAAAGCAGAGCCCACAGGATTTGCTGATGCCTTGGAGAGAGAGAGAGTGAGGAGTTGAGGAGGCCTCCAAGGCCTGGGGCCTGTGCCACTGGCTGCCGCGAATTCCTCTTTGCAGAGATGGGGCGCATGTGATCTTCACAATAGTTTTCTTTCCGTATTTTTTCCAGGTCAAAGACTCGAGGTCCAGGGGTTCTTAGGCCCAGGCTTCACGGTCAGAGAGAGAGAGGCACAGCTAGTGTCTGAACCCGGGAAATCTGATGTCGTGGTGAGTACTGGGAGCCTCCAGGCCGAGCTGCTTTCCAATATCAATGCGATATGATAAAGTGAAAAGAATGTCAGCTCAACCAAAGAACTCATGGAAGGCTTCCTGGAGGAGGTGGTGTCTGAGCTAAGCCTTGCAGGAGGAGAAAGAGCCCATCGGGTGTAGAGACAAGAATCAATGTAACGGCCGCCTGGGTGTGGCTCTTACCGGGAGCCAAGCACCATTCTTTTTTTTTTTTTTTTTTTTTTTTAAATTGTTTAATGTTTATTCACTTTTTGAGAGAGAGAGAGAGACACAGAGGCTGAACAGGGGAGGGGCCGAGAGAGAGGGAGACACAGGCTCCAGGCTCCGAGCTCTCAGCACGGAGCCTGACGCGGGGCTCGAACTCATGAGCCGCGAGATCGTGACCTGAGCCGAGGTCGGACGCTTAACCAACCGACTGAGCCACCCGGGCGCCCCTGCCGTTACGCCATTGCTGGTGCCCAGCATCACCCAGGACAGAGAAGGCACTAAAAAGGGATCAGACGTGTGCGTAACAATCAGCATTGGTAAGTGTTTTGCTGAGTGGAAGGAAGTCCGAGCTTCTGTGTGAGGCCTTACAGGGCCCTGCACGGTCAGCCCCGTGGACCGCCCGCTCTCTCTGCCTCCCCCCTAGCCGCACCGAAAAGCCAGCGGCCTCACAGGGCCCATGCCCTCTACGTGGCTCGGCTCATGATTCCACAGGCTTTCCAGATCTCTCTTTACCCCTCCAGCCTTGCCCAGGCTGTTCTCGCTGCCTGAGAACTCGGTCCCTCTCGGGGCCCACTCACCTTTGCCTAGAAGCTGCTCTGTCGCACGCCTGCGTCCTCTGCCGGCTTCCAGCACTGTGTCCTCAGCTGTCACGTGTCTGATGATCGGGTCGCCTTGGGTGTCCCGCGTCTCCTGGCCGCTGGTGTGGCCGGGCCCCGGGAGGCCCTCGCGGGGGAAGAGCGTGGTTTCCGGCCGGGTCTTGTGCTCTCGGAACCAAGAAGTGGAGGGAGCGCCATTGAGGCTTCCGGGGACGGGCAGGGGGGCACAGGCTCCTGCGGTCAAGGGCTCTGGAGACGCAGAGGAGGGCGGCTCCAAGGAGACAGAGCAGGTGCAGGATGCGATCAGGATACCTTGGAGGAGGGGGGGAAGAGAGAGGAGAGAGCAGAGGGGGCAAATGGGACCAAGGGCGAGATGCTGCCCCAGCGGGTAACCCTTCCTGAGCTGGCGACAGTGAGTGTGGCACGCTGAGAGCTGATAACTGTGATGATGATAGGGACGATGTCGGAACGAAAGGGAACGTTCGCTGAGCGCCTCCTATATGCCAGATACTGTTCTGAGCGCCGAACACGTACTGTCTCACTTACTCCTTCCGTCGACCCCTGCAAAGCGCACATCACCCAGGGTAACCGTGCAGATCTGTTGTCTCCCCGTCTCTGCCCTGCTCTGCTCCCCGAGAGGCTGACTCCCCTGAGCTGCCTCATCGGGTCCCCTTGTCTTTTGCTTCCGGTTGGCCTCTGCCGGTGCGAGTGACGGCTCCCTCCCTGCTCCGTGGACGTGGGGCGGCTGTGTCCCTCCACTAAGGCTGCCGTTGTCGTGTGGCCCTGTCTATGCGCCACTCTCTTTGGGTCTTGGGGTCTGCTGGTCTTCTCGCGGCTTCTAGCACACGGGAGGTAACAGCTTCTGCTGTGGCCAGCCTCAGGGTGCTGCGCGATCCCAGGAGGGGTTGCCTCTACCCTGCTTCTATCTCCGCAGATCCTCCCTTTACTAACCTCCTCGCCCATTACTCCTTTTGAGAAGACCATCTTCCCGCCTCAACCCTGAGTAACACAACTGCCACACCCCGGGTAGGAGTGAGGAAATGGAAGCTCAGAGAACTGGAGACCATTGTCCAGGATGTCCTAGGTGGTACACAGCAGGGCTGTGATCCACAGGCAGTCAACAATCTTCTTTTTAAAAAAAAATTTTTTTTAATGTTTATTTTTTAATTTATTTTTTATTATTTTTTTTAACGTTTATTTATTTTTGAGACAGAGAGAGACAGAGCATGAACGGGGGAGGGGCAGAGAGAGAGGGAGACACAGAATCCGAAGCAGGCTCCGGGCTCCGAGCCGTCAGCACAGAGCCCGACGCGGGGCTCGAACTCACGGACCGCGAGATCACGACCTGAGCCAAAGTTGGACGCTTAACGGACTGAGCCACCCAGGCGCCCCTCAACATTCTTCTTTTTAATGTTCATTTATTTTTGAGAGAGAGAGAGGAAAAAGGGGGGGTAGGGTGAGAGAGAGAGGGAGACATACCGGGAAAAATTATTTGCAACGGATCTCACAGACCAAGAGCTCATTTCACTAATATATAAAAAGCTCTGAGATCTCAATAAGCGAAAATATCAGCAACCCAACAGAAGCTTATACAAAGGATGTGGGTGGGCAAATCCATAGGAAAGAAAATTCAAATGTCTCTTGACCTAGGGAAAACGTTCAGCCGTGCTCATAGTAAGAGAAACGCAAATTAAAACACACGGAGGTAACACTCTTCACCGATCAGGTTGGCAAAGATCCAAAAGGTCGATGATGTGGCATGTTGATGGGGCTGAGGGCAATGGGAAAGAACGTCTTATGCGTGGCTCATACAACCCCATGCGGAGGACATGGGCTTTTCAGATTGAAAATTCCCATATCCTTTGACCCTGAGATTAAAGATCAGGGAATGTGTTCTATGGATTAACCTTCCCCAGTATAAAATGACTTCTGGGCAGGGTCATTTGCCACATCTTAGTTTTAATGGCTAAAGATTGGAAATATCCAAGTGGGCGTCCATGGGGAACCGATTTAATAAATTATGCTCCATTCATACAGTGGAACAAGACAGCTGTACGAAAAGGTGGGGAAGGTCTCCGGAACGCCGTGAACTAAGAGGGAGAGATCGCCAAAGTAAGCAGTTAAGATAGAAAGGCAGGCGGCTGGACGGTTCTTACGGTACGCTAACTTGGTGTAAAAACGGGAGAAAAGTCAATCTGTAATATTTGCATTTCTTATAAACATATAAAGAAACTCTGGAGGGATGCACAAAGACAGTGGCTACCTGTGTGTGCCGGCAGGGGGGAGGGGGACCTTTTATATGCCTTTTATATATCTTTGAGATTTGAACCATGGGCGTGTATAAGCCATTCAACAAAATTAAGTAAAATTTGAATAAAGGAAATAAGAGAGCATAAACTATGTTCTCAGTAGTCTTTCTCACACACACACACACACACACACACACACACCCCAGAATGCAGGCTCCAAAACTGGACTGCCAGCATGGGGCACCTGGGTGGCTCAGTTGGTTAAGTGACTGACTTTGGCT